CTCCCAATTTGGAGTGTTCTAAGGTGAGAGAATCGACTTCATTGCACTAGGATTTTATCCTAGAAGGCTCAGTCTCTCCCTGCAGGAAGGCTGGTCACCCACCAAGAGCAAATGCACACAACATGAAACTGCAGTTTCAGCAGCACCAACCTCAAAACAGCCGCACTCATCAATGGAATAGGGAGTTCAAAACCAAACCCATGACTCTCACACTGCGAAGCCAACAGCTGAACCAACTGGTCCCAGAAACCCCTTTTAAGTCCTTAAACCTCAACACTGCCATGTTCATGTTAGCGTACATCTGTAACTCTGTTTACAAGTAAAGGACCCGTATTATACCAGTGTTGCATCGGGCATATGATGCTAGACTCATATTTTTAATACACCATTTGGCCCTCGCATGATGTGATTAACATCATGCTGTGACCTTTACTTCCCAGGAAATGTCCTGGTACCCATTTCAGGCTGGGTTGATCTGGGAAAGTCAGTGATATTTTTTTTTTTAGACCTGCCAGCTGAGGCTTTGAACCTAAGATCTTTATCCAGCAGGTGAGCATCACGTCACTGCCGTGGCCTTTATAAACAAGTTTAAGCAAAATAATTAATTTCCAACAGTTGACATCCCACCAGGACAAATTCTGTATAAAAATAAAACAACCTAATAGAAAAGTCTTACTTTTGTTGTACATAAATGAATCCTCAGTTTAACTTTTTTTCAGCCAAAGAAACATGCAGTGTGTGACTGGTTTTTTTAAAAAATTAATTCCACCTTTTGTCATACATTTGTTGTCTAATATTTATCATTTATCTATTATTTATAATATATCTGTTGTCTATTATTTACATACAGTCACAGCATACTGAAGAAATCTGGTCTCCTTAGGCTTAGAAGCCACAACAGTTTAGTGGCTAGACACTCGGCTGCTGGCCGAAAGGTCTCTTGAAAGAAACTAACTCACAAAGAGCACTGAATGCCCACATCCGAAAGAGATAATCTACATTTTTTGGTCTTGTCATGAGAAGGAGAAAACTGGAGTGCATATTGGGAAAGTTGGAGGGGAAGAGGCAGACTGAGATAGAAGATGCTGGACAGTTTGACATCATGGCATGTAAGATCATCTGTGTCAGAGTTGATTGAAAGTACACGTGACTACCAGTGCCACACAGCATGGACTTTTGGAAGAAGAAGATATAAAGATCTTTACTCTTTTAGTTCCACAGCGTTCTAGCTATCTCTGGGAGTGTTACAAATGGCAGTACTAAACTCACAAAGATTAGAATCCATAAAAAGCCAGATTTTTCAGAATCATTGATATGAGGCTGACCACATCACCCACCGTGTGCTGACTGGTCTATACAAATATGTCTCGATGTAGACTCAAACTCAAGACAGTTGGGGAACCAGGCAAATGTCTATCCACTATCCAACCATGGTTCCCAGAAAAGGATTAACAAAATAATAAACACACATCTTCCACATGGAAACAAAGAAGCTTTATTCTCCCACATGCCAGTTTCCTAGACTTTGTTATCTAAAACAAACATCCATATATAGCAACCTTTTAAAAATACTGAATCTCTGAGAACAACAAAATTACAGACAGTTAATGTGCAAACACAACTGCAATGATCGTGCCATGCTAGTTTTGAATAAAACTAGTTACAAATAAATGAATGAAGAGATTAGGCGGTCATTTTGACCAATGGACATCAAATGTGTATGTAGCGGAGATTGTCGCTACTGTCTTGAGTACTTCATAGGAAATACAATTAACTTGTTCTGTCCTAAATAGTTTGATATATATATAAACCCATGATGTTCTAAGTTACCACTTCTTTCCGAGACCACTATTATTGTTTCCCATTCTGCCAGACAGTGTGATAAAAACGCACTTTGTTTTCTTTTTAGAGTTCACTGCCTATAAACTCTGGTTGTTTGCTAACTTCTGAACTTTAGCCTTGTTCCAGAACTTGAGTTTCACAGTTACATTTATTTTAAAGATCTGGCATATTTAAATATCGACTGTTGGCTCCTTGCTGCTCCAGCAGATGCAGGCCAATGTTGAGCCACCTTTTACGACATGCGCGTTGGGATCTATCCCCCCCAAATGGGCAATGAAACTCACGAGGATTTCTGTTCACAGTTACCTCTTCCTTCATGGACCATTGTTATCCTTCCTCATTCTAACAGTGTCATATAAACCCACTCCGTTCTTTTCCTGTCATAGGTCATTACCAATCCTTATTCTGCCCGGCAAAAAATGTTAATTCTCTTTGGTTAGTATATATATATATAATCTGTTACTCAAAGAGTTGAAAAATTAGAATAATCAAGTAATAATTGGAAGAAAAAAAAACAATGCTTGGACTGTCTGAACTAAACATAAAATATTTTATGGATTCCTACAGCATTACCCAAAAATTTGACCAGGTCTTACATTAATTTTTGCTCCGAAAGAAGGAACACTGGAGCTTTTTTTTTTCAGGGGATGTCATTTTTTATTTTCATAATGGTCCTTGCCAAGCAGCAAAAACTATAGAGATCCAAAAAATGTCTCCTGTAAAACCAAGCTACAGCTACTCAGAACCTAAGAAACTAGTACGTTTTAATATGGCTATGAAACGTGGACCTTAACAGCTGAACTCGAAAAAAGAAAAGAAAAATACAATCACTGAAAACAGAATCTTTGCGAAAAATTCTTGGCATATCATATAGAGACCACATCACAAATGATGAGGTGATTATTCAAAACTGGCAACAATAAACGTCTTCTAACAACAGTGAAAAGAAGGAAAATGCAATGCTATGGACATGTAATAAGATCTAACCGCCTCTTAAAAACAATACTACAGGGCTCAGTAGAGGGGAAGAGGAGAAAAGGTAAACCAAGAAAGATCCGGATACAGAACTTGACTAACTGTACAGGCCTTAGGCATACATACAACTATGAAGTCTTTCGCATCTGACCCTCACTCAATGGTAGAGTCAGCTGATCCAACAGTCAACAGCAACTACTGACCCAACACCATACAGTGTTACAGGATGATGATAATGATGTGATTTTACAAATACTGAATTATAATGTACATTATCGGTTATTTAAAGCACTGTTGTAAATAATATTTATTTATTGATATTTCCATTACTTGTTAAGACCCGATGGGAGCATGTGTACAATTTAGAACAGCAAACTGATCATCACAGTCTAGTCACAATGATTCGGCGAGGAGTAACGAGGGGCTCTAGCCGATTCTCGATGCTCAGAGACAAGGCAAGACGGACGTATAATCATCCTGTTACTGGCACCTTTGGAATTTGAACTCTGCACTGGCTGCTGAAGACAGAAACGGAGCGCTTAAGGGAATGCCCCAAGTGCTGTGATGTCAGTTCTGGAATCAAATCACATCATTTCCATCACTGTATAATTCATTATGTCTGCTGTGCCGTGTTTCAATGTAAGATTGAAATCTATTTGCCTGACTGACAATCTTAACTAGAGCTTATATTCAGGCTAGGGCTTCTATTACAAGTCGGGTCCTTACGGAGCCTGCCTTTTTTTTTTTTTTCAGAAATTAGCTTGGCTCCCAAGAGCACCCAGCCTTGAGTGGGTACCAAGTGCAGTCCTGGGAAGTAAAGGCGACCGGCTTGTCTTTTACATCCTTTACTTTCATTACAAGCATCCTGAAAAAAGCATGCTAAGGTTGATTTTAAAGTCATGTTTTGTTTGTCGCAAAAGCATGAAATCAGATGAGGTAGCACAGTGGCTAGCATGCTTGCCTGCCAACCCAGAGGTTACAGATTTTAATCCCCATCAAGATGGATTTTCAACCCATTCGCTCCAAAGTGAAAACCATTCTATAGATTTTACCACTTCACAGATTTAAAAAAAAAGGATAACAGAACACTGCTCTCCTTTGGTGCATTTCAAAAGCAGGGTGGCCATCTTTAAAATGTGACTATGATGTCACTACATCCGTCTGCACTGTAACATCACACGCACAACACTCTTGACATCCTTAACAACAATACTGACAGGTTGCAAGATAATGATACTGTAATTTCTATCACTTTCTAGGTTTTCATTTGAAACCCTAGTGTTTATTTTTACTGTGAATCAATATTCTAACCATACTCTCTACATAAAAATGTGTCAAATAAATTACTTGATTGAAGCCAACAGGTTTCTGAATCAAAAGAATGTTGAGTGTTGAATTAAGAATCGACATCATAGCACTTGGGACACTCCCATAAGTTCTCAGTCCCCATCTTCAGCAGCAAGAGAGGAGTTCCAATTCCAATGCTTTTTCTGAGTCAATGGAGAATAAGCTTTTTAATGAATGTATTATTTATAACATCAGTTACTACTAGATCTTTGTTCTTTTAACAACATATGTAATCAAAATTTCAACAACAGGTCCCTACAAATAAGACAGATACATTTATTTATTATATAAAGTATACAAAACAGTCTTTTAAAAAACAAAAAGCGCTAAAAATACACTGGTGACAACAAACTACAAATCTGATACAACAGTTACGAGATGGACAACTGTTTACCAAAGAAACAACTGAGGGAATAAAGGGGAAAACAACACAAAAGAACTGGTATCACAATATGAAAGACTTACTATGAAAAGATAAGTGAACAGATAAGGTACAGCCCAATGATGATGGAGGAATGAGTTACAGTTCATGAAAGAAAAAAAAAAAAGGAAAACTGTTAAAAAAAAATTAGAAAGAAAGACAAGACAATATACAATAAAAGAAGTAACAAGAAGAAGAAAATGAAAAAGAAGCCTCTGTAAAACAAAACACGTGTGTCACTTGGCCGGCTTGCTTTCAGTATTTGGCTTTCTCAAAATATTCTTTAGTTACATTCAACTCCATTCATGCTTGGTGAGTTTGAGCCGTATTTGGTAATTTATATTCACTGGTCAACATTGACGACTTCAACATCTTCTTGTGTGACTTCACCTCTACCCTGGCAGAAACTCCCGACTCAAAGTATTGCACAGCACTGGTTGGTCTTTTTAGCCTGAAACAACACACATTAAGGATTTGGTTAAAATACACAAAAACAATATTTTAATTAAAAATGTCTTTTCTGTGCACATTTACAACTTATGGGAGCGTGGGTGCAATTTGGAAGAGCAAATGGATCATCGCAGTCTGGTGAGAGTGATGCAGTGAGAGCGGCGGACGAGCGTACTGGCCAATACTAGATGCTCATAGGAATAGCAAGACTGACATATAATCAGCCTGCTGTTCCTACCAAGGATATTGGAACTCTGCACTGGTTGCTGAAAATAGGAACGGAGCGCTTATGGGAATACCCAGAGTGCTGTGATGTCAGTTCTTGAATCATCTTGACTCTTTACCGCTTTTTGGTTTATTTTAGGACTAGGGGTGATATGAGCTTGAGAACTGAGGTTTTAATGGCTAGTGATGTCTTTATTAACTGTGAGGGTTAAGCCTTCTGTCCCAAACAATGCACTATGCTTTTTCTTTGCTCACAGGCTGTAAGCTCCAGCGGAAAGTTCTGATCATTCGTCCATTTCGACTGATGATTTGTGCTAGCGCCCGAGTTTTGGGTGTGCATCCATTTTACTGGCTTATTTGTGTGCCCTTGGTTGTTCCTTGCCGCTTTGGCAGATGCACTCCGACTTTGAAGGAAGCTCCCAATTAATTGACTTCCTACGATATGCTTGTTGGGGAGGCAGTGGGTCTATTCTTGTTTTTCCCACAATGGGGCCCTGGAACCCACACAGGAATATACACTATACAGGAATGTGTATTTTTCACATGAACCGATCAACATTTTATGTATGTTTTTACATCTTATGTTAAGAAGGGTCCCTAAAAATATATTATTTCCCTGCAAATGTTGTGTATTTGGCTACTCTGGAAGTAGTATACCCATGAGTTTAGTACTGCCATTTGTAACACCCTCAGAGATAAGCTAGAACGCTGTGGGGCTGAGAGACTTAAGATCTTTATCTCTTTGTCTTCCTAAAGTCCATGCCATGTGACACTGGTAGTCACGTGTACTTTTAATCAACTCTGACACAGATGCTCTTGGATGCCATGGTGTCAAACTGTCCAGCATCTTCTATCTCTGTCTCTCTCTTCCTCTCTTCACCTCCAACTTTCCTAACTGTCACGATGCACTCCAGTTTTCTCCTTCTCATGACAAGACCAAAGAATATAGATTATCTCTTTCTGATGTGGGCAATCAGTTCTCTTTGTGAGTTAGTTTCTTTCAAGACATCTTCATTACTCTTTTTATCTGACCAGGATATTCTCATCATTCGTCTATAAAACCAAGTCTCTGCAGCTTCCAAAAAATAATCTTTATTTAAGTTTCCAAAATTCAAAACATGTTTCCTTGTTGTTAAGACACTAACTTATTTTGGTGTCGGCACATCTGACAGCTGCCTTATAAATTATTACTTTGAATCAGCGGGCATCAAGATTCTGCTGTAGTTCTCAAATGGGACAGTGAGGGCATTTTGTTAGAGTTCCAGTGGCACAGAAATAGAGCAGTGATGTTGAAACCTCGACTAACAATATACAATGCAACAGGCACTGATCTACAGCTGAGTTGAATGTGCTCAGTCCTTATCTTCAGCAGCCAGCACAGAGTTCCAATACTGATGCAAATGTCCTAATAGAATAGCTTTGGTATTCCTGCAGATCTTTTCCAGATCACCATACAAGAGATACCTAGGAATACGACTGAAACTCCATGCGGCAGACATGCTCCAATCAGCACAATCACCTCAGCTTCAGTAGAAAGTACTTTGTTGGCACTCCTGAGCACACATTCGTTAGGGACCAAGTCTCACTACAATACATCAAGAATGCATCGATTACAGCACATGTGGAAAGTATTCAGTCTCTCGCTATCTCTCTCTCTCATTTTTTTTATTTTTTTTTATTTTTAAGGAGCAGGTTTTGTTGCCATAAAAGAGTGAGCTCAGATTGCTGGATTCATGAACTTTGATTCTGGTCACATTCATCAGCTTTCTTTTGAGCACTCTTATTATGAATTTGGAAAACACTGCAGAAGCCTTTCCTATTCCTCTGCTTAGTACTGTATCCTGAGCAAAAAATGTTCAAGATTAGAGAGCCTAGGTATTCAAACGCATGTACAACCAATAGCTCATGGTTGTAAGCGCTAATGCTCGGTAGGTTTACCAGGTTCATTGCCATCACTTGTAATTTGCCAAGACTGATGGGGGATACAATAAACAAATGGCAATAATAAAATCTTGGCTAAAACAAATACACATATGCAGTGCAAGTGTAGCAGTTTTAAATTATTAACAAAAATAAAACAGCATCAATGAGAAAAGCTGTTCTGCTCTTGTTACAGCTGATTTCACCCACCCCCCGCCCCCAATAAAATTAAAAAACTTCAAAGATTAAACATTATTAATCTGGTATTCCACAGAAATAAAGAAATGGGGAATCCTGGAGATCATAACAACTTTTTTATAATAAACAGAAATGCATTGATCAGCACTCACAGAAAGAAGTAGAAAGATAGAAGAAGGTCACTCCAGACAATATGTGTTGTCTAGTGTGTCCTTCTATGTTTCTACTTCTTTCTGTGAGTGCTGATCAATACACTGTTTGTTTGTTTATTTTATATACATACACACGCACCAACACAGGCGTGTGCATGTGCACACACTCACACAAAACAAACATACACACCAACACACTCTGTGTAATGTGGTTATCATGACCTCTGGATGGTAGAATGGGTCAGACAATGGAAGAGATTGGGGCCTCACTACGACATATTCCTACAGACAGCAGGGAATGTCCATAGTTGCTGCAGCCAACCTCTACTGCAGAGATAGTAGAAACACATCTGATAGTTAGTACTTACAGTTTTATAAAACGTCTTTGACTGCATGCTCAGACCTTCTGACTTCTCTACTAAATCATCTAGCTTCTCTCCTCTCTGTAGAACTGCTTCTATCGTGTTATGCTGAAACAATACACATATACTGATGCATTTCTCTTTGAAGAACTGCTTCTGTTCTGTTAAAAAGGCCATTCTCATGGCTTTCAGACAGTAGTTCAAGAACTGCTATGGAAGGGACTGTGGCAAACTTCCACTGTGAAGACGTCACAAGTTTTTATTACTGTGTTTTGCGGAAACAAAAGCTGCACAGACTTATCTAAGTAGAACTGATTCTACTGTGTTGTGCTGACACAATCCTCTTCTCCTTCTTCTTCTTCAGCATTCTCAGCCCTTGAGGTTCACTGCCGCAGATATCACTCGCCTCCATTCATCTCTACGTACAGTCCTCTCTTTCCAGTTGGTGACTCCAAGTGTTTGCAGATCAGCCTATATATGATCTCTACACCATATTCTTTGTTTGCCTCCTGGTTTGTGACCATTTAAATCCCTTGTGTACAGTTTCTACCTCTCTGAGAACTATGCTGGTGGTAGCAAGCTAGACAGGTCAAAGGATACTGAACAAAGACACTCTGGTCCTCCAGGTTGGCAGCTGAAGCGGGGTCCAACACCCCTACCTTCGTAAAACATAAATTCACCATACATAAATCCATCATGAAATAGACACCTAAACCTCGATTTAGGATAGATTTAAATGGGCAACAATGTGCTAAAACAATAGTTTAATAATTTAGTACTGTAGAACTGCAGTAACAGACCATGCTGTCATCTTGCAAAAAATACATTACAGAATATTACTTTTTATCCTGCAAAACAGGTCTGCATTGCTCTGCCTCTTGAAACATCTTTCTCATATCCTAAGTGTCTTTACTGTCACTTGTTTACAATCTCTTTGGTCAAACCCTGCATCTTCTTCTATTCAATATCCTTCTTCAATTAATTAATTTGCTAGATGGTTTCACCATCATGAATGTAATTTAGTACTTTTATTTAACTAAATTGCTATCTCATAAATAGAATCTGTACCATAAGAATAATAAGTAAAAAGTCCTGGGTAATGTAGATCACATGTGCATAGGGCATGTTTAACTGTAATGAACTAATCTAGATCATGTGTGTGTAGGACATGTCTAACTGCATGTATAACTGTAATGAGCTAATGTAGATCATATGTGTGTAGGACATGTCTAACTGCATGTATAACTGTAATGAGCTAATGTAGATCATATGTGTGTAGGACATGTCTAACTGCATGTATAACTGTAATGAGCTAATGTAAATCATATGTGTGTAGGACATGTCTAACTATTGTTGTTGCTGTTCGTGCATTACAGGTGACGATGACCAGTCCTTTCGTCCAAAGTTGACTGGATTAGGTTTTGTGAGTGCGCAGATGGTTGATAAAGCCAATTCTAGCACTGCAAGTTCTTGAGCAGTAAAAGGTAAAGGTAAAGTCGGGAGATGTGAACCAGTGTCATTGCACACGGTTATAAACCATAAGTGCTCTGCCACCAGTACGGACAGCTGATAAGAATTGTCCGCCTGTGCCGCCGTTTGCACGTAACTCTGTAGCTACAGCGACGTTCCTCCATTTACCCCAGAGTATCACCCTGGTACCAATTTCCTAGAGGCTGGGTGAACCCCGGGAGCCGCCCGGTTTCGAACACCAACCGTGGGCTGCAGCGAGTCGCAGTTGGATTTGAAAGCGAGCTTCTTATCGACTGCGCTAACGCGGCCCCCAACTGTGGACAGGGAAGTGAAGCCGCATCTCTCTGGTGATTTGCTTCAGTGTCTTTCCTGGCTTGTTTTTTCCAAACTGCTATTGCAGTTCTAGCAGCTTCATGGGCCAGAGCTCCTCGGTGAAGAGAGGAGCACCAGGATAAGGAGTCACATGCAGCAACTTCCCAGGTTTTAGGATCAATACAGAAGTCTTTCAGTGAGTCTTGAGGCTGTGCTTGAAATGTTTCTTCTGTTAACCTTTTTTAAGTAGCTCACCACAGAAAATTCTTGTTGGCAGTCAGTGGTCAGGCATGCGGGCTATCCTGCCCAGCAAAGTTGTGATTGTTTTAGAATTGAGTAAATACTGGGCAGTCCAGCTCTGTCAAGGACTTCAGTGTAAGGGATCCTGTCTTGCCATTGTATGTTTAACAACTTTCTGAGGCAAACTGTGCGGAAAGAGGTTCAGCTTCTTAGCATGGCGTTGGTAAACGGTCCATGTTTCACATGTATAGAGAAGTAGAGGAAGTACGACCGCTTTGTAGACTTTGAGCTTCATCTGCAGGCTGATGCCAGCTCTGTTCCATACTTTTGTAGGAAGTCTACCAAATGCGCTACTGGCTTTGGATATCCTTGTATTGATCTCTAGATCGATGTTAACTTCCTGAGCGAGTAAGCTGGCAAGATATGTAAATCTGTCTATTGTCTTTAGTGCTTTACCCTTGACTGTGATGTGTTGGTTCTGGTAGATTTGTCCCTGGGGCTGGCTGGGACATTATTTCAGTTTTGTCAGTGCTTATGACAAGCCCAAAGTTTGTACAGGCTTCGGATAATTTGGTTACACTATGTTGTAGTTCAGGCTCTAAGCCGGCACAGGTAGTAAAGTCAGCAAAAATTAATTCTCTAATTGTGTCTGACTTAACCTTGGTTTTAGCATATAGCCTCCTAAGATTAAACAGACTGTCATCAGCATGATATCTGATATCGATACCAGCAGCCCCATCTCTGAAGGCATCAATCAGCATTGTGGAGAATATGATGCTGAACAGTGCTGGTGCAAGCACACAAGCTTGCTTTACTCTGTTTGAGACCATAAAAGGCTCCGAGAGGTGTCCATTTTCCTGAACTCTTGCTTGCATTTCTATATGAAATTGCTTCATTACTCTTATAAACTTTTGTGGGCTGCCAAACTGTGCCATGATTTCCCATCTCTACTGACTATGTCAAAGGCCTTGATAAGGTCAATGACAGCATAGAACAAATCAACATTTTGTTCTTACATTTTTTTCATACAGCTGCCTTGCAGCCAATATCATGTCAATGGTGCCTTGATCTTTCCAGAAGCCACACTGGCTCTCAGGCAGAAGACTTTGATCAAGGTGTGCTGTCAGGCGAGTCAGGATGATTCTGGCTATGCAATTTCCCTGCTACAGATTACAGGGAGATGCCCCTATGGTTGTCGCAAGCCATGCGATATCCTTTTCGCTTGTAGAGGTGAACAACTAAAGCATTTTTTAGATGTAGAACATAAGTGCACAGGACATATCTAATTGTAATGAGTTAATGCAGGCCATATGTGCAAAGGACATGTTTAACTGTAATGAACTAAATGTAGATCATATGTGCATAGGACATGCCTAAATGTAATAAACTAATGTAGATCATATATGTATAGGAAAGTTCTACCTGTTATTCACAAATGTAGATAGATCCCATGTGTATAGGACCCAACTTTAGTAAACTAATGCAGAATTATAGGTGTGTTGGCAATTCTAACTTAATAAACTAAAATAGATCATATGTGTATAGGACAATTCTAACCTTAATAAACTAATGTAGATCATATGTGTATTGGACAATTCTAAATATAATGAACAAATTTAGATAATATGTGTATAGGACGATTCTAACTTTAATAAACTAATGTAGATCATTTTCATAAAGCAAAATTATAACCACAATGAACCAGTGTAGATCAAATTAGAAAATCAGCTTGGCATTTATAAAACTGACAATTTTTGTTAAAATAAATGAGCGACTTACCAGAATTATCTTAGTTTCATCCAGCTCTGACTGAATCTTGGTCATTGCATCTGCCTCCCGTGGGTTCTAATGACAATAATCACAGCAAATTAAATTTCACGTAGAAGTCTGAAGACGCAAAATTGTTCAAAACTAACTATGTGCGTCAGACTAAATATGCGAAGACAAGAAGTTGTGATTTTTTTCAGCAGTTACTAAGAGCCTTCATTCACAAGAGTTATTTCTAAGAGAAATGGCAAGATTGCAACCAGTCAGTAAAGCACAAAGGACTAATTGCCTTTGTATTTTATTTATTCGACCTATACTTTTCTCTGTGCTGAGATTATCCTTGTGTAATCTGTATCAGTCAAGTATAGGTCTTTTTTCCCGCCTTTAGGCGTACTGTGAATATAGGGCTAGACCTAGATTTGTATAGACCAATCGGCACTTGGTGGGTCGTGTGGTCAGTATTATACCAGCCGCCTTTACTTCCCAGGACTACACCTGGTATCCACTCAAGACTGGGTCGACTTGGGAGTCAAGGTTTTGAAGAAAAAAAAGTCCAACTCTATCAGGACACGAACCCACAACCTTCCGATCCATAGGCGGGGTCTAGCTGCCAATGCCACGGCGACTCCCTTGTGTAATATGTGGGACTCAAACATCTAAAAACACGTACAGATATTCAAGTGCAATAAAAATGATCCTTTTAGAATGAACACTCTGATCCATGTGTGCTTATTATTACCTTCTGTCATATATTTATTTTTAAAAAAACAGGAATAATGTGTGTGTGTGTGTGTGTGTATATATATATATATATATATATATATATATATATATATATATATATATATATATATATATATATATATATATATATATATATATATATATATATATATATATATTTACACTCATGTGTCTCTAGATTGTAGAGGAATCTGCATGCCCCGATAGCCCCAAGGGCTATGACAACACAGCTATTGGTGAGGGTTTCACAAATCAGACTTATTAACTCTTTGAGGCCCAAACAACGGTGTGAGCGTAGTTCAAGAGGGTTATGTTTTGCCCAAACAACAGTGTCATCGTCAATCGTGTGTCCCTTACATTTTTGCTTCGCATGCGGCTTCGTACTAGTTTCTAATGTTTGGAGGTACGATTAAACTATTATACTAAGTCACTCTGCTGAAATCCTTTTAGTTTAATTTCCTGGGACTAAACCACACGGGGATAATTTGAGAGAAAACACAGCGAAATTTTTTTTTTTTGCAGTTCATTTTCTAAGTTCGTTTTTGAGTGCCATGAATACCAATGTTCTAACTACAAGTACAGGTCGCAGAATGCGTCTTTCTGTGGCCGAAACTCTGAAATTGTTTCAGTCAGATGTTCTCAATTGTGATAATGATAATAAAAATTTAGATTTTTCGGAAAGTGATTCGGATGGTGAATTTTCACCAGTGAAGCTGAGCTGTTCACCAGTGAAGCTGAGCGATCAGCTGTTCGGAATCTAGCGATTCTGATGAGTTTATTACACAAACAATGTCACATACTACCGTATTTATGGTGTAAGAGAAGGAATGTGCTCTAAACAAATAGATTGTTCTATACTATGGCGAAGCTACACTAAAATCACCGCAGCTACAGTCTGTAAATAACTGTACAAAGTAAATAGTAAATAGTGTGTGTGTAATGGCTTACTTTTCTGTTATTTTGTCTCTGAAATTTTGCTCAGCACTCTGTGAGAACTAAGAGCCCCGGAGTGCTAAACTCACTCAGAAAGTTATTATAGCGTTGGAATGTGTTAGGAAATTGAACAAACTTTGAAGTTTTGTTCTCAAATTTGGATTTTTACTACTCTTGTGGCTGCAAAACCATGGTAAGTGAAGAATTTTTTTGTTAAATGTTGTCCTTGTGAAATTAACACCTGCTGAATTTTTCTTTCCCTCTAACTATAACAAAATTAAACACTTATCATCAGATTCAAAATGTACATTCATTTCTCTTTTAAAAAATATATACTTTTATAGGGATTAGAAGTATATTACAATCTCTATAGCCTTTCTTGTGCACCCACCCCTCTGCCATTTTTGTAAAGGGAAATTAATTTGGGCCAAGTCTGTCAAAATTCATGGGCCTGAAAGAGTTAAAGGAAATGGAAATGACCACGGTAACAAACAACATTTTTGAGTGGTCTTGAGATAACCAAAGACTCAGTGAAAGCAATGTCTCACAAAATTAAATGTACTGAACCAGAATATTACAAAAACTGTTAACATAATTCACTTTATGATTATGTTTTTTCCCCCAATTTATTTAACGACTCTCTCAACATATTTTCTAACTCTAAATGCCCCAACAAACTGAGCATAAGAGATTAAACTAAGTGTGTCAAGACAAGAAGCTATAATTTTCATTGGATGAACGGTCTTTTTTTTCTTCAAAAGGTGTCTCAACAACCCATTATCAACTTAATAATTGCATAATTCAATTAACAATTCACTTAGAACATCAACGCTATGTGGTAAATTAGTCAACACTGAATACTCAATGACCATGTAGTGTAAGTTATCAAAAACAGAGGAAAATGTGTCTATTCTATGATAATCCCTGGTAAGTAACATAAACTGCTGTCAGGGTGAGGTCAGATATGACTCAATAACCAGTTCATTTTATAAGGCTGCATTTCTAACTGCCCTCTGTTTATTCCTGAGAAGCTTATGGTACCCATACTGAGGTGATTTCTTCCATCCATTATTTTCCAACGGAGCATATGCCTCCAGCCAACCCACATGAGCCCCTTTGTAAACTTCTTAAGGACTGGATGGATTCTGTAAATGTTTTCTATCTGGGTAATGATTTGACATCACAGCATTCAGGACAAGCTCATATCAGCTCCATCTCCCTTCTCAACAACCATGGAAGAGTCTCCAGACTGATGGGACCTGTTGTCATCTGGTTAGATATTCCTTTTGTCCTTCACTGGGGTCTTGAGTGGTACCCACAGCCACCAGACACTGCTTCATTCTCTCCAAGTTCAGGTTTTCAATAACTTAAATTTTACTTGAAACCTCGACCCACAGGCGAGAGATCACCTCTGCTTTGTGCAGTTGTAGAACACCCCAAGTCCAATGAACCTATCTGCCTGCTCATTCCCAAACACCTACAAATCCCAAATGCCCAGGCAAAATATCCATGCGGCTCTCACAACCTGCGACCTCTGGGCTGATACAAAGAAAACCTGACTCCATCTTTCTGAGCATGCTCTGGACATCCGATACTATGACAACATGTGTGGCTGAGATTTTCTTCACCCACTGGAATGCTGCAGTCACATCCTCAACCTCAATTCTTACACTGGATGTGGTAATGTTCTATGCTAAGAACTCAGTCGTCCTTCTGCCCCATAATTTTGCAATGAAGCCATCCACCCTTTCTGCCCTTGGCCACTGACCCATCAGTATAAATAATCTCATCGCCTGGCGTAGAGTTATTCTTTATCAGCAGCTGAACCTCTACATCTGCACATTCCGCAGCCCATTCTCTAATTCTCATCCAAAGGTAATTACCACTTTCTACAGCTCTTCTCTGCCCTCCTCGAGCTTTACCCATTCTAAATGTTTTTTTTAATGAAATGATTTAGCCTACCCTATTACAACATGCAATCTAAGTTAGTGAGATACCATTCTTTGCTTCTTTTATCAACTCCCAAAATATACAGGTAATGATATAGTTTCTTACCATTTGTACATTACCAAATGTAATATACTTTTAAAGAAAAAAGCAGCAGCCATCAAAGCTTGTTTATATCTCCCTAGATCAATGGTTCTCAATTAAATCAGACCAGCAGGTTCTTCTTATTTCTGGGGGTATGTCTGACCATATACTTTTCAAGTCACAGGAAAGCACTGTTTCTACTATATAAATATCTGAATCACAAACATTCTAATTGACAAATATTTCACTGCTGTAAATATCACAGACCTTTCACAATTGTTCTGAGAGAAAGACTGCCCTAAATCATTAAGAAACTAGTGATCTGATCTTCTGCACACTGTCATTGAGGACAGATAGTTTGAGAACCAATGTTGTTAGTATGACAGTACACTTGCCACCTCCATGCTGGAACTCACTTATACATACACTTGAGTACTGTCTTATGTACTCGCAACCTCAGTTCATTCTTCTTCAGTACTAGAATGCCTTACCTGGTATTTTTGAAGATAACCTTCCAGCTCTGGGAATGGAGCTTCGCTACAGAGAAAGAAAAAAATAATTAAATATTACAATTGCTAAACAACAGTGTATTCATATTACTATTAAACAAGAAACACACTAACACGACTGAACCCTTTTTGAAAGAGAACTAACCACCCCATCTCATAAAGCTGTGACCAAGAATAAGTGCAACTACAACATTTATGCATTTGGTAAGGTAGCACATTTACAATTTTATAAAAGTGATGTAGAGTGACTGGCAAGCACTGGGTCAAGTCCGGCTTGGGTCTGTTATTACTCACACTGAATAAATATTGACATTAAGTGTCCAATAGACAAGTTGACAGATGGCTTAACATGAACAGGCAGAGGGCCTATGATCACTCCACTGGCAGAGGAAAGGCAACAGCAACACTGGTGGAAAAATAAGAAGAAGATTAGAAACTTACTTTTCTTTCACTGATGACCATTGAGCCTTTGGGCATTTATCAGGGAATTCATCTAGTATCTGCAAAACAATAATTAAATTATATATTTTAATAGATAAGGGTCACAGAACAAGGCATGTGTAATATTAAGCATATATTCTCTCAATAATTTCTTGAGGTCTCAGAGATGTGGTTTTACAGAAGAATCCATAAAATACCTTGGACCGCCAAAAAGAGCAACCAAGAGGTTTTGAAAGAGGCGGGAGCATGAAGATAACATATAACACATCAGAAAGAGACAATCATTATTTTTCAGCTATTTTATGAGAAGAGGTAAAATGGAACATGTTGTGACCACTGAAAAGATCATTGGAAGGAGGGATAGAGGAAGACAACGAGAAAAGCTTAACAGTTCTGTTGCATGGCATGGAGGTGTGTCAGCACACAAACTGATACATGCTGCAGGAGATCACAGATTGTGGAGAGGTATGATCGCCTACGCCAGTCGGCAAGGCACCTGATGATGATGTAAGTCCTCATTAAATGAGTTTCATTTGTTCGCAAACGCTTGTGTGCAATTTTAGTATTACATTCATAGTGTTTTAAACAACTCACTGTCCATTTAAGAGAAAAAACAAAGAACAATGGCCTGTGCTTGACTACAAGGCCATTCTTATGTTTTTGGTATCTTTCAAAATGACAGCATTACAGTGTGCTATAGAAATGCATGATAACCACAACCTCGATAAGTCTTCCTCGATAAGTGCATGGGATTTCATGACCACCGTTGCCACTGCACGCTGGCAGACATTTTCACTGTCAAACCTGCAATCATTTCCTCCTTAGTCCTTTCCCTTTTACCTTTCTGATGTGTCCTCTCTATGCAACACAATACAAGGAATCTTGTTTCATTAACTAAGACAAGCAGCTTTATGTATGTATTTGATTTCACATGCTGTAATTGTATGTTTATGGTTCTGAGAACTTTCTAAAACTGATATTAAGCATAGTGAAAGCATTTTGTATGTTTTCGAACTCCGAACAGTCACTTCTGGAAGTTTCGTCACAATGTGGGTTATGGGCCCCTATTTTGGGAGAAATAAGAAAAAACTTACTGCGTTCGTAGCAGGCATGTCATAAAACGTGACTAATTAGGAGCGGTTCCTTCAAAGTCAAACTGCATTTAGCTGAGACGTAAGGATTCAATAGTCTGCATACATATAAGCCAGATGTGTAAAGCAGATGTGCAAGCAAAACTCACAATAGATTATGAAACAAGACTAAAGTCCAAAACTGGAGGAAAAAACCAGAACTGTTCACCTGCGTTTACAAATGGTAACCGATATAAAGAAGGATTCCCAAACTTACCTTGTTAATCAGAGTATGTGCCACTCTCTGTGGGTACTCATGGTCAGCTATAACTACTCCAGCCAGATTATCACTTCGTACATACACATGGCAGATATATTCTGAAAAGAGGCAATTCGCTAAATGACTGCAGATGCTAAGTTCAGTCAGTGTGAAAGAGAGGATAGCGAAGCTTTCCAGCAAGATTCTTAGTGCAAATATCCAATAAAAATGTAAATAAAACATTCATGTCATGTTATGATGTGTTTTCACAATCAAGCATGCTGGGCTTTCTCTTGCATGCTCAGTACTCCAATGCAACCGTGGGGTGGCGGCTGAACAGGTATGTTTGATAGGGTAGGAATCACATTTGTAACTATTTGTCTAAGAATCAGATACTGGCAATGAATTTCCAGTCATAACATGACCTAATATAACATCACTATCCTATCATGCAGCTAATACACCATATAAGGCTTGCAGTCTAGTGCTCCATTGCATCCTTCTTTATGTCTTCACTGGCTGTAAACTTCAATGAAAAGTTGTTCATGCACCTCTGAACTTCAGTCTTGTTCTTGAACTTGAGAGTTATTTGCATGCAGATTGTTGGTTCCTTACCTCTCAGGCAGGTGCTCTCTGGCTTCGAAGAAAGCCCACATTTAGTCGGCTCTTACAACATGCTTATTGGGGAGTTAGTGGGTCTATTCTTGTTTTTCCCGCAACAATGGGGCCCTGGAACCTACAGGGGACACATTCCATTGGAATCTGTGCAATCCTTTCAATATCAATTTATGGAATCAAGCTCAGCCCCTCGGCCTCTCTCAACAAAATTTGCCTTAGCCTCTCTCTTGGACACTTTTCTTTTTCTTCCATTTATTTGTTTCCAATGTCAGTACCTGTTTAGTGATTCTTTGTTTCTCCTTGAGCGGTGATCCATATACTGCCACCTTTTGTTGTATTATAACCATTTATACAAGTCTCTTGTTTGTGGTCTGTTATTTCTAATGGAGCTAATGTATTACATACAATATGTTGAATGTTGACTTAAGAATCGACATTGCAGCACTCAGGAAATTCCCATAAGCACTCCATCTTTATATTCAGCAGCAAGCAAAGAGTTCTGATGGTGCCGTTAACTGTCTGAGTGTACATCTGTCTCGTCTTTCCCTTGAGTGCTGAGCGTCAGCCAGATCCCCTGGTAAGTCCCTGCAGCGCCATTCTCATCAGACTATAATGATCTATTTGCGTCTCCACACTGTTCACTCACACCCAAACAGACCTCACGACATCTAGCTTGTCATACAACAGTTCACCACCAAATAGTGCAGAACCAACCAGTCTATTTGCCTGCTCGTTTCTCAATACACCAGCATACCCTTGGGGGGAAAAGGGGGGGGGGGGGGGGGGCAGAATAGTAGAAAAGGGAAAAGAACTAAAACATGTTCTGACAAGAGACAAGATTTATGGAAAGAAGGATTCTCAACAGTCTTCTGTCAAGGCATGGAAAAGTGTCAACTCATAAACTGACACACTGCTGGAGATAGCAAGATGTGGAGAAGCCTGGTCAACCACACCAGCCAGCTGGGCACTTTATGATGATGATGATAGGCTAATGTATGTTGTAGCATTTTACTTACCCTGTTCTTTGACTGATGCCCGAGAAGCGGTTGCAGTTCTTTCTACAAGAATTTTACTTGTAAAAGACATAAATTCCGCAACACTGCAAAATAAGTCAAATTTTCAATAAAACAATATGGCAACTTCACAGACATGCACATGCAAATGAGCCTGAGAATTAATACAATAGAATATTGTTAAAAATAAGCACAGGTTGACAGTATAAAACCCTGTAACATCCAGTCGTCAGGAGTGCAGATTTGTGAAAATGCAGAATTATTTATGGTCATATATGCTGTCTAAGAAGAACACTAAATCTTCACAGGTCAGATTTTAGATAAATAAGACAAAAGATCAAGCAATACAATGTATCAAATTTTATAAGAAATCGCTGATGGAACTACATCGACCATGCATTCATAATGGATAAGACAAGATCATCATCAATCCGGAAGGGAAAAGAAAAGGAGGCAGGGGATGGGGGGAGACCAAGGACGCTAGGTAGAACGATCATCACAGAAGGCTCAACCATGGGCCTAACAATAATTCAAAACGGACATGGAGAGCTATGACCTCTGCTCTATGCGCTGCCCTAGGCCCAAGAGGAAAGACTTGACTAATATATGCTGTATACATTTAACAGAAAATGACTATGTGTTCAGTCTTAGAAAGACTAAATTAAAAACTAAATGAAAAGCATATGACATTTGAATGTTCACCAATTTAAAAGACAGTTCTGCAGAATTTTAGTTCACATGAATTAGTTCCTCCAAATTTAATAATAATAAATGCCCTCAGAATTTTAATATGAAAAATGTGCTCTGAAATCCAAGTCAGAAATCTGTAGGAACCAGATTACTGATGGCCAGATTTTATAGGACAATTTGTAAAACAAAGGACTCTACACATCATTGAAGCATCAGGCAAATGATGCTAAATCCATTTTCACAGACCAATCTGTGCCAGTCTCGTGATGTGATCATACTAGCTAGCTTTACGTATGGGTCTGGGGTGCCAGATACTACTAGTAACTCTCGCAAGGTGACTGTCATGTCCTTCTTGGGGCAGTTCACCACCAATGGGTTAGGTCTGGCACTCAGCTCTCTCCTGTGGCTCCCAGCAGCTGTCAGCATGCAACAGCAGTCACCCCCTGGACAACAGCTTCGACGGGCTGGCTAAACCAGGTTAGGGTAGCCGACCTGGTTTTAAACCACTCTGTGATTGGGATATGCTAACCCTGCATGCAAAGACTGCGGATTGTGCGGATGAAACCTCTATTGGTTTAACAGACAAGAAGTCGATTACCAGCAGGCTCTGTGGCGAGCTTCGAGCAAGGAAAGGCAGGGCACTTAAGACGTCTTGGTCATCCACTGCACCAAGGTCCATTTCCAATCATTTCAACATTGTCCTGCCATTTGATCAAGACAGACACAGGCGACAGAATGAGGTCGTTAAATTGCGCAACATTTCCTCACTTAAATCCAAGTCCTTGAGCAAGTCACTTTCATCCAATTATCACCCTCTTACTTTGGATGAAAAGTGATCTTCATCACTCGTGATGGACAAACAACATTAGGACAAATAAAGAAGGGTAGATTACAAAGCTGACCACAGTTTATCCTTGATCAGCAAAATAATGTTAACTGTTGTTAAAAAAAAAAAAAACAAGAGATACAATGAAAAGATTACACAACAACTACACTAAACAGATGTTGGAAAGTGAAGACAAGGAAGCAGGTAGATAATATGATGTAATGTTCAACATAAAATTTAACTGCAAACCCCAATGAAATGCTAATTCTTTCCCGATCATGGAACAGGTGTTTCATGACTTGTTCAAAATATAACTGACACATTTTTTCATGCAATAATGAAACAGATATGCAATTTTTTTTAATGTATGCATAGGTACAGCATAATATGGGAGCCACCATAATAAAGCGACTAGACGCTTGCTGGCGGATCTGAAGGTCGTGGGTTCAAGTCTCAATAAAGCCGGACTTTTTTTCAAAAATGATGACTGCCAGGTTTAAACAGGTACCAGGTAAAGCTCTATGAAGTACAGGCGTCCAGCGTGATGCTGGCCACATCACCAGTCGAGTGCCGATTGTTCTATAAAATATAGTCCTAGCGCTATCTGCCCAATAAGCCTGAAGGTGTGGAAAATGGTGCTTTACTTTACCACGATATGGAAACGAGACCCCAGTATTGTTAGACGCGCAGCCAACCTCTCTCCAGTAAAACTAACATACATTATTTCCTATTAACTGCACCTGCACAGATGTGTAAAGGCAACACCTGCTTATGTTATAGTACACATACATTTTAGTCATACAAGTGACGTAAGTGCATTTCACACTGTCCTGAGAGTTTTGCCTGATTAAATTAACAAGGTTTCAAATAACATTCTCTACTGTTTGTGTATGTTATAATCATCTCTATTTTTACTTAAAATTGCACTTATTTTTACTTATTAAACTTTTATTATTTTTACTTTAAAAAAATCCCATAACACCATGTGTGTTTAGGCTGACTGATTAGTGTCCTCCACTTGGGTCTGCTACATGCAATGGACTTGGAATGTTAGTATGTTTGAGGCGTCTCCAATTGGCTAAATTCAGTATCTAGGTGTTTCTTGGTTTGTCTTTTCACCTCTACTGAGCCCTACACATCATTCTGGAAAGGCCAGTAGATCTTGTTAAATGTCCCTACATTTGTATTTTTTGTTTTCTCATTGTTGTTAGATCTTTTGCCCAGTCCCCCCCCCCCCCCCCCAAAAAAAAATTATAAAAGATTACTTTTCTGCAAACTATTTAACAAAATGTATCCTTATAATTCACTGAGACTCTAACCTAATAAACCAAGAGAAGGGGTATAGTTTAAAAAACAAAAACATAGTTTTTGCTGACTTACCCATATTCAGCCAATTGACGTAATTATGGGATTATTAGAATGCCATGACCGAGGTCTCAATGTCAAAAATGCTTTTTTTGTTTTTAATTTTTCAAAAACCTGCAATATGCATGTCTACAAAGTATGCAGCTATAGTCGGTACTAAAGCTGCTATACAGCCATAATTGCTACTGCTCGAAGAATTCATGTCAGCAAAAAGCAATAAATACTTGAAAAATGCTTTTCCTAGGGCAACAGGGTTAAAGAAGTTTCACTGTTGCCAACATGTTAACGATATTGTGAACTTTGACATTTGTGATGTGGTTTTGGTATGATATACCAAGGATCCATCACCCTGCAAAACGAGGTCCCTTAATATTATTGTATTCCTTGTAAAGTCACATTACAGTGAGCCATGGTAGTGCAATAGCTAGCAGGGATGCTAACCAACTCTTAGGTCATGAGTTTGATTCACTATCAAGGCAGATTTGTATATATTCATCTAGGCTCCCTGTCCAACCTGGCCTACAATGGTTACCAGAAAATGTTCTGGGAAGCATAATGGATCAGCACGATATGGACCATCTCATTCAGAGAGTGCTAACTGATCTATAATAAAGTGAAAGTACCATATACCAATCAACTGTGTGCTGACTGGGCTATTCGAGCATGAGTTTTGCATTGTAAGCTCAATGTGGCACTTATGTGAATGAACAGAATCCTCTTTTAGCTATATGCAGAATATAACTCGAGGTGTGGAAATTGATCCTTTTCACATTTCAACTTACAGTATACACCTTTAATATATAAAGTAAACCTACGTGGATCGTTGGAAATATCCAAAAGACGAGAGCTCATTTTTAGAAGTAAGAATCTTTCCTTTTTCCTGTGGTGTTTTTAACAGGACAGCTATTGAATAGAGCTTCATGGTAACAGCAGTAGTTCTGAAACAAGAAATAACAATCATTAAATAGAACACCAACATATCATCCTTAAGGTAAATCATTATGAAGGTACAATTATTACATAAGTTCTATACACGAACTTTCTCCCCCTCCTCTGTCACTACTAAATGTATCCTAATAAGGCTTATCCCCTATACACCAATTATCTCCACCTCCAAAACCCAACTGCTCTCTTTAAAAAAAAAAAAAGTACTATCTCACACAAACAGTGAAAAAATTTATCTCGGAATGGTTTTCATCCTCTACTCAGATCCCACCTTTCTCTCATTACTGACTGTATTTGCATAAGATTTACATCCTCCAGATTCTATACAGGTTTCTATAGAAGGAACATATTCTATAAAAGGTTGTCTTATTTTTTACTTCTGATATCTTGATTAGAACAACAGTCTTGCTATTCTACTCTCTGTGTCATAGTCATCTCCTTGTTGATTGCAATTATTCTTTATTTTGAAGCCCCACCCTGGCTCTTGCCAGGGGCCGCAATATAGCCTGGGCATAAATATGGCCTAATGGCTGAATGCTGTTTCAGGGACCCCTCCACGGGTGATCCTCATCCACATGGTGGCACTTTGTGTCACTGGGTGGTTATCACATGTGTGATGTCCTAGTGGGCTAAAATATACTAATACTAGTCTCTGCTATTTCTTCCAGCCACTAGATTCTAAATGTGAATACCGATAATTTTCATACTGGGCATGCCATTTTTTTTTCACCTTTGTCCAAGAAGACTAGGTATCTAAATTGACTACCAAAGAGCCCATAAGGATGTATATGAAGTGAGTGCAAACTAACAACAGTGATACAAATCTCACTTTCCAGCTGGCAGAGAAACTTATACGTCTGAGTTAGAGGCAGACATCAAAGCCTCAGTTGGTTGAAAAAAGCTGCATATACAGGACTTCACAAATCAAATCCAGTATTACTGGCCATTATATCATAATTGAATATACGGTCAGTAATTTGCCGTTGCTTTCTTGGTTGTACAACGCTCACTCAAAATCAAACATTGCAACATATTATTATATATAACATATATATTCTGCTACTAAATCACCCACTGGTGACTTTTAACTTTGAACCTTGGTACGATACAACTGTGAAACTGTATTCACAACCCCTAAGCTACTTATTACATCCTTTTTATCTAAATGGAAGCTATTATCATCATAGTGTACTACATGGACTGCACAAATCATCATCATAGTGTATTACATGGACTGCACAAATCATCATCATAGTGTAGCTATATGGACTGCACAAATCATCATCATAGTGTAGCTATATGGACTGCACAAATCATCATCATAGTGTACTACATGGACTGCACAAATCATCATTATAGTGTACTACCTACATGGACTGCACAAATCATCATCGTAGTGTAACTACATGGACTGCACAAATCATCATCATAGTGTAGCTACATGGACTGCACAAATCATCATCATAGTGTACTACATGGATTGCACAAATCACAAATGTGGTCGGCCTCTCTTTCCAGTGTGAAAAACTTCTGGGTATTGTTGTTGTTTTTTAAATTTCATATTAAATATTGGGCTATCCTCCAAACAATAATGACAATTGCGTACTTCTGGCGTCTTAAATTGCGCACTTCTGCCACCGCCGAGAGTATAGCGGCGTGGATTGGGGCTAAACTAGATGGCTGGGACTCACAAGCAGCAGCTACCGCATCTCCTGCAGCTTCCTTCATTTTATGTGCTCGTGAGTCCCAGCCATCTAGTTTAGCCCCAATTCATGCAGCTAAGCGCGGCGTGTGAGATACTCTCGGCAGTGCCGGTATAGTCCCCGGAAGTCCGCAACTGACATGTGGCTGAGGCCCTGTTAGGGTATATTTTTGGCCTCAATAATTTGGGATCGTTATTCGGAGGATAGCCAAATACTGACTTAACCCAAACACTGTGTCTACACCATTGACACAGTAGTTAGTATGGTAGTACTATATATATAGTGTAATTTCGGATGAAAGAAAGAGTGGTTCTTATCATCGCTTACTTAAAGTAGTTAAAGTAAAGCATGTTTGTTGTATTAGTACAATTACTATTTACTATTAGTAATTAACACTAATTACTTTACTTGTGATGTGATGGACCAACAACTTGTTAACAACACAACTAACTACAACACCAGTTAGCCAGTAGTTAAAAGAAATATCACTTACCACGTTTGATCTGACACTAACAGGTCACGTCAATGCGAAGCACTGACTACAACAGTCTCTGGTAATCACGTGAAAACAATGTGAATCATGCAGGTCTGATGCTACAAGCTCCACGTCTCAGACAATGTTTGTTTTTTAGTAGTGACCACCCACAGGATTTCCGAATTCCTGGTTCCGCAAGCAGACGTACTTACTCAAAATTTTGAAATTTACGACCGCGATCTTAGTTTAAAAACAATGTGTTATCTGAGACAGATACGTTACAAAACACTTAAACTAAACAGATTTTACCAAACAGTGTTTAAGGGTAGCTGTCATCAGCCATAAGCCACATCAGACATATAAATTATAAACACACCAGAATAAATGTATGAATTTGTTCCAACTTTTATGTTGTGACGCACAGGCGGAAGTTGTCATATTTTGTAAAACTACTCACAGCCATATCACACGAAACAAACATATTTGGCTAAAATTGTCCTCATACAATCTGGTGCATTCTTCACAATTAAATTCGCTGGAACCTGGGTGCTCAGTTCCCTTGACAATTAGCATAACCACTTTGTTAAAGCTGCTTTAAAAAACAAACCATATATCCAGTAATTCCCGCAACTGTAATTAAAATAAACAGATACGATAGACGTGTCTGATTTTGCCCTAACTTTAAATAACAGCGAAGCAGTGCTTCGTGTTATCAAGGAAAATATTAATTATCTCCAATTACTGCTTTAGGGAGCACTCAGGGACATGAGCTTCCCCCTTCCCCCACAACTATACACACCATTATTTGATTGGAAAGTTTGTAAGGCTGAGAGGAGTGCGTGGCTAGGGGTCCGCCAGTATTTTCTAATTGGGTTGTTTGGATCTGACCCCCCCCCCCCCCCCCAAATGTTTGCCTAGGCGAATCCTGAACAACCGCCCCTCTCCGCATCCCACCCTTTCAAATAGAACATTTCTAAGGCGGGGGCGGGGCAGATGGGTGGGGGATAAGCAACCCCCCCCCCCCCCACATGTTAACTTCGTGGCGGTGCGCCTGTCCACAAGAATATAAATTGCACAGTAACCGACATTCATACCACACGAAACAAACATATATTGTTAATATCATCATCATTCCCTCATGGTGGCGATTTACGGCAAGGGATCTCAAGCACGCTCGTCTGTCATCCTAGATATACATTCTCTCAGACGCTTTTCGAGGGTCTCCATTAAAATGGTCAGTTTTTAAAAGGAGTAAAAAATTTTAGGGAAGAGAAAAAGTTGGTAAGAAACAACAAAAAGTTTAGTTAGCTTTATAAAATCGATCACAATAAACAAAGGACGTTGCGGCGATTAGGCTTCATCAGCACATAAAGGACAATACAGTACACATACACAGATATGCTCTAACTATGAAGTGACTACATAGGACTCTACAAAATAAATGATACTCATCTGTGTCCCAGGCGAAAAAAAATTCGTACAAGAAAATGACTAGGTCAGCTACTAACTAGCCTATATATCTCCACCGCGTGGGCGGGGAGCGAAAAATGGGGCGGAGTAGACGCCAACAGCGTACACTGAGTGGCTAAAGAGGGAGGGAGGGGTTGGCCTATAGGGCTTAACCAGGGTTGGGTTGTGGGGATGACATTAGTCCATCCGCATGGAATAAAAATGGTGCCTGTGCTAGCAAACAAATACCAACAGACAGACAGACAGACAGACAGACAGACAGACAGACAGACAGACCAGACAGACAGACCAGACAGACAGACAGACAGACCAGACAGACAGACAGACCAGACAGACAGACAGACAGACCAGACAGATAGACAGACCAGACAGATAGACAGACAGACAGACAGACAGACAGACAGACAGACAGACAGACAGACAGACAGACAGACAGACAGACAGACAGACAGACAGACAGACAGACAGACAGACAGAGATATAGATAGATAGATAGATAGATAGATAGATAGATAGATAGATAGATAGATAGATAGATAGATAGATAGATAGATAGATAGATAGATAGATAGATAGATAGATAGATAGATAGACAGACAGACAGACAGACAGACAGACAGACAGACAGACAGACAGACAGACAGACAGACAGACAGACAGACAGACAGGCAGGCAGGCAGGCAGGCAGGCAGGCAGGCAGGCAGGCAGGCAGGCAGGCAGGCAGGCAGGCAGGCAGGCAGACAGGCAGACAGGCAGACAGACAGACAGACAGACAGACAGACAGACAGACAGACAGACAGACAGACAGACAGACAGACAGACAGACAGACAGACAGACAGACAGACAGACAGACAGACAGACAGACAGACAGACAGACAGACAGACAGATAGATAGATAGATAGATAGATAGATAGATAGATAGATAGATAGATAGATAGATAGATAGATAGATAGATAGATAGATAGATAGATAGATAGATAGATAGATAGATAGATAGATAGATAGATAGATAGATAGATAGATAGATAGATAGATCGTGGATGGTGGGGTGAATGGATGGGTAGGTAGTGCAATAGATGGGCGGGTATACAAATAGACGAAATGATAGATGGCTATACTCGTGGATGGATGGAAAGTATAATAGATGGATGGATCGGCCGATATATGAAATCAGGCAAAAACAAGGGTCTCAAGACAAGATGCTTCTCACTAACTGTCAGCCATGAAATAGAGACAGTAGGGGTGATTGTTATACAAAGTATCAGTCGAACTGAGCGCAGAACTGGTTAAAAAACAAAATGTAAGGGAGCAATGGAAAAATAGCTA